AAAGGAGAAATGCCATAAATAGTGTTTTTACATCTGCTCAATTCCTTCTTCTCTGCAAGGAGTAAAAAAGTGGGACCCCTGTGCCATTTTCCATCTACCCAACCTAAGAGGATTGATCGGTAAGAGCAAGCAAAGAATACGGTATCCTTGAGTGCATTTACACTGTATAATTATTGTAGTTTGGCACCACTTTCACTGTCATGGCTCAATGCTATGGAATCCTGGGAGTTGTAGTTTGCTAAGGCACCAGCACACTTTGGCAGAGAAAGCCAATATCTTGTGAAATGCAACTCTCATAGCATTGAGCCATGGCAGGTCAAGTAGTGTCAAAATGCATTCATTCTACAGTGAAGATGCACCCCTTCTCTCTGGACACTTCATATCCTTTCAGGTTAACATCTGTAGCTGTTTACACTGCTAAACTAATTGGTCATCAAGTGCATACATTCCATGTGGGAGACTATTGAAATGTACCAACCATGCAAAGAACCAGAGCTGAGCAAAACCCTTGTGCCAAGCTGAATACTATAGAGGAAGCCCACTTCTCCATGAGAGAGATAGAAGACTTTGTCTCAGTTTGGGCTTCTCTTTGCAGCCCAAATTTAAAAAAAATAAAGTACTTACCCAGTTCACAATTCGGTGAGGGAGGCTGTTTGATAGGCATTATACAGAGTTAACTACTTACTCCACAGCTCCCACCACGCAACGTGAAAAGCCCAACTCCTCTTTCATTATATATACAGACAAGTGTCCCAGATTGATAAGGACTTTGTGGACTTGCCCTTTCTCAGGGCTGGTAATGGGAAGGATGGTTTTAAATTTCTGAGAAACCAATTATACCTTTGCTTGTGTTTTTTTAAAGACGTACACACCATTTTCTAGTTCCCTGAAAATTATTATATAACTGACTTAATTGGGAATTGATTGGGCACAAGGGACTTTGTTCCTAGATCTGACAGCCCTGGACTTGGACACAGCAGGACTGTGTCTGGACACCTGTAACTGATATGGGGCAGGAGCTTTAAAAACCCTTTCATTATTCCTGAGGCAGCATTCCAATTATTTGTGTATGAGATAGCACTGGATTGGACTGGTTTGTTTGTGGGTGGGTTTTCTCTTTTCTCACTCATTAAGATCAGAACTTGGCACCACTTGACATTTTCCATAGCAGATAAGTCCCATTAGGCAGATCAATGTAATACAAAGTGCATCACAATCACTGCTGATTCGAATGGCTCATGAAGACTTCATTTGTCAACCATCTGACTTGAGGACTTCCAACAGCCAGTCTCTTGAGTTCTGGTCTTTGCTTTTGATAAGCAAAGCCAAACACTTAACAGGTCCACAACCATGATACGCCTAGTTGGCCAAATGATCTGTGACCTCATTGGAAACCAAGTATGGGTGCATGGTCATAGAATCATAGAGTTGGAAGAGACCTTGTGGACCATCCAGTCCAACCCCCTGCCAAGAAGCAGGAAAAGCACATTCAAAGCACCCCTGACAGATAGCCATCCAGCCTGTTTCTATTAAACATCCCCTCAATTGACCCAGTACACTAACTGGAAGTTGCAGTTGCTTGGCACATGACAGAGAATCTTCTATGGCCATTTTAAGATGTGAGGGTGGTGGTGGTAGAGTAGTATTTGAAAACATATGGAACAGGGCATAGAGATACATTACATCTTCCTTGCAATTCTGTGTAGTGATGATCAGCTTACTCTACTTCAGGACTAAACAGATTTTATTCTCTCTGCAATGTGGGCATGGCAGTCTTGACCCTCTGTTGTTGGGTTACATTACTGATAGCCCCTTAACATTAGTCATGCTGGTTCTGCCTTCTGGGATTTGAAGTCTTACCCTGCTGAATCATAGAGCTGAAAGAGAACACAAAGACCATCCAGTCCAACCTTCTTCTACCATGCAGAAACTCGCAGTGAAAACACTCTTGACAGATGACCATGAAGTCTCTGCTTGCAAGCCTCAAGGAGGAGACTCCAGGAAACTCCAAGGTAGCATATTCCACTGCCAAACAGCTCTTAGTGTTAGGGTGTTTTTCCTAATGTGTAGTGGTGTCGCTTTTCCTGCATTTAGAATCCATTGTTCTAGTCTTCAGTATTGCCTGAGTCACCTCCTCATTGTGACATCCTTTCACATATTTAAATATGGATCTTATCTTCCTTCTCAGCCTTCTTTTTTCAAAGCTAAACATATCCACTTGTTTCAGGCTGCTTCCCCGTGCTCCTCTGAAAATAAACCTAACTCAAGTAAATGAGATTAACCTCTGAGTAGATAGGGGGCAGGATTTGCAATTTAAATTACCTGTGCACAGAGCTAGATCCAGTAGTTGTAGGGGAAAACTGAGACTAGATCAATAACACGACCAGCAGTAACTACTTACTGTATCCCTCTTCTCTTGAGCTGGTCACTGACCGTAATAAAGTGAACTTGAACCTGAACGATTTGCAAATCTTGTGAGTGGGAAGAGATGCGAGTTTCTGTTACAAAAAGAGGTTATGCCTTCTCTCTGGTCCACTGATCCAAAATGTTTTAATTTTCTCATAGTTAGCATATTTATACCCACCATTTATTCCAGCATAAATCTCAGGTGGTCTCCCAACAAAGGACATACCTGCTTAGCTAAAGTATGAGATCTGAGCCATACTGTAGAACTGGATGGTTTTTTTCCTCCTTGGAGAAGAAATAGTTCTTCAGTTGGTTTAATAGGAATATTTGATTCTCCTGTGTTTTTTCATCTTTGAAAGGACTTTCAGTCATGTGTATGTGCCCTGTCCCCTACTGGACTATACTCAAGCAATTGCCATAAAACTGTCCCCCACCCCACTAATACACACTTGTTTTACTTGTCTAGTAAATAAAATCAACTATAGATCTCTAAAATTAAATGAAGAATTGAAAGAAGGCAAGAATGACCTTTCCCCATAGGTTGAGAAGTTTCCTGATGACTTGACCACAAACAGTAAAGTTCTTCCAGAGTTTCCCTGGTTCAGCAGTTCTTATAATTCTATCAGCAGGGAATCTCTCTTGACTTCTATGGAGACGTGACAGACGCTATACCTCTAATGTCTGGAGGGCCAGAATAAAGGTCAAAATAAAAGATAACTGTGCAGTTTACTTAAAGGGAAATGCAATAAGATTCTGATTACCTGAGGTGAGAAATGAGATTATTTTTATTGTTATCGCAATCATATGCTCATTTGCTTGGGAGTATGCTCAGTTGAAACCGAATAAGCCTTATTTTTAGTCGATGTGTTGATTGTCAGCCACATTTCTGTTCTTCCCATCTGGCAATAAATTTAGAGAGCAGATTCTGTAAGTTGTATGTCATAAGAAGAAAAGGGCAATACCACCTCAGAGTATTCCTTGCTTAAGAAAAGCCTGTGGAATTAATGGAGTCACAATAAGTTGACAGGCTATTTGAATGCATGCACATGAGTCTTTTGAACTGCCTTCCAATATGGTTGGATCCTGCAAGCCTGAACTCTGTCCTCTAAGTGTCCCCTTTCACATCAGATTAAAATAATCAGGCCTTGCACTTGAAACTCCTTTGTTATCTTTGCTGCACACACTGCATTATTCTATGCTTCCTCCCTTTTGACCCTCTCATCTCAGCCTGTCCTTTCACTCCTTATGGCGCAACCATGACTTTCTCTCACCACTTTACCAGCCCTCTTCCATCTTCATTTCCCCTCCCAATTCATCCTACTGCAGAACCATTCTGGGGTCAACCTATTCAGCAGTTCAACGGCACAACCATCTTCCCTAGAAAGTGGCAAGATATTTGAACCAGGTTTATCATAGGCATTCATTCATGGCCGAGTCTGATTGTCTTCCAAGGTTAGAGTCTTGAGGTTGGGTCTGTGAAGACCTTTTATGGATCCACGTGGTCAGTAAGAACTCCCTGACCAAACTTTGTACTAAACGTCCTTAGAAGCACTTTATTTATGGTTTGTGCAATTGAATCCTCCCTCATTCTCGGATTCTCATCCTGATAATTTATATTGTCCCATCTCCCAGTTTTTTAAAAAATTAACCTTGAATGTGGCCCAGCCCAGTGAAATTCTCTGTTTTTAAATGCATGTTTTATATTGTCTGTGTCGTTTATTATATTCTTTGCATTTTATATATTTATGTCTTGGTATTGTTATGTTTTTGTATTACAGTGTATGTACTGCACTGATGGGCTTGCCCTCATGTAAGCCGCACCGAGTCCCCCTGGGGGAGATGGAGCGGGGTATAAATAAAGACTATTATGATTATTTCACAATGAGGACATAGATTTCCAGATGGAAGGCGGTCCCAACAAGGATTTCCTTGGTGCACCTTCCTCTTGCACGTTTCTCTTTTGCCTTCTATTCATGCCTCTTCAAAATCCATAGCACTGTTGGTAACAGCTGACCTCCAGTCACAATGCTCAATGGCCAGGGCTTCCCAATTCTCAGTGCCCTTTATTTATTTTATTTATTTTACCGTCCTTGTAGGAGACTTCTCTCGTGTCTCCGCATAGAGAGCAGGAGCTGACAGAGGCAGCTCATCCACGCTCCCGCTATATTCGAACCTCCGACCTGTCGGTCTTCAGTCCTTCAGACCCATTGTGTCACTGGGGGCTCCACCTCTGAAGATGCCTGCCATAGATGTGGGCGAAACGTCAGGAGAGAATGCTTCTGGAACATGAACATGCAGCCCCAAAAACTCACAGCAATCCAGTGATTCCGACAAGAAATCATCTGGTTCCTTTTGCATCCAAAGTTGTTTTTTTCCCCTTGCTAATTAAAAAAAATAGCTTAATCTATTTGACAATCCTTGCTAATAAAAAATAGCTTAATCTATTTGACAGTCTTTCTATTACTTTAGCTGCCATGTTGTGGTCTGGACGGAGATACATGGAGGGGCGGCGCGACGTGCGGGCGCACGAGGTGACACCAATCCTTCTGACGTCACCGCGCATGACGTCTCACGAAGAGCGTAGGGCGGAAGGCATCGGCTTCCGTCTTTTTCCTGTTCTGCAGCTTATTTTCCGCCCGAACTCGTCACGTGGGCCGAGTAGAATGTTGACGCGTTCTCTGATTGGAGGACGCTCGAAGCCTGCTTATCCTTTCCCTCAGGAACAGCGGGTGGCTCTTTGCCGGCATGAAGGCAGCATCGGCGGCGTCGGTGCTGCTGCTTCGCGGCCGCTGCGGCTATGTCGCTCTCCGCCGCGCTCCCTTTCCCGCTGCTGCCCCCTTCCTTCGGGCTGTCCGTACCCCGGAGCCTCCCCTTTGGCCGGCGCTGAGGTAAAAGGGGCGGAGGGGGAGGCGGGTTCCTGGTGGGCCTCCCTGAACGGCCATGGCGCAAGTCTGTGGCATTCTGGGAGTTGTAGTTCCACACGGCCTTCAGCTTCCTCGAAAGGTGTGCCAAGCCGCATCCATTCTATGGTGTAGACCAGGCATGGGGAAAATTAAGCCCTACAGGTGTTTTGGGCTTCAACTCCCACAATTCAGATCTGGGTTGTAGTAGGTTTTTTGGGCTGTATGGCCATGTTCTAGAAGCATTCTCTTCTGACATTTCGCCTGCATCAATGGCAGGCATCCTTAGAGGTTGTGACAACCTCTGAGGATGCCTGCCATAGATGCAGGCGAAACGTCAGGAGAGAATGCTTCTAGAACAGGGGTCCTCAAATTTTTTAAACAGAGGGCCAGGTCACAGTCCCTCAAACTGTTGGAGGGCCGGATTATAATTTGAAAAAACATGAATTAATTCCTATGCACACCGCATATATCTTATTTGTAGTGGAAGAACACTTTAAAATAATACAATAATTAAAATGAAGAACAATTTTAACAAATATAAACTTATTAGTATTTCAATGGGAAGTGTGGGCCTGCTTTTGGCTGATGAGATAGGGTTTGTTGTTGTTGTTGTTGTTGTTGTTGTGTGCTTTCAAGTAGTTTCAGACTTAGATTGACCCTGAGCAAGGGCAAGGTAAATGACCTTGGAGGGCCGTATCCAGCCCCCGGGCCTTAGTTTGAGGACCCCTGCTCTAGAACATGGCCATACAACCCGAAAAACCTACAACAACCCAGTGATTCCGGCCATGAAAGCCTTCAACAATACATTGAACAGCCTCAGACCCTTCCCTTTTCCCCCTCAGCCACTTAAGCTACACTCAAACCTGGTGTAGACGCACCCCCTGTTCGCTCGTCCTCTTTTCTGACCACCATTGCTAATGCGCCCTGACATCTCATGAGAAGTCTTAATTAGGACAGCTTCTCAGGCTCCTTCTACATTGCCCTATATTGCAAGATCTGATCCCAGATTATCTGCTTTGAACTGGATTATACGTATCTGCACAGACAGATAATCTGGGATAAGCAGATAATCTGGGATCAGATCCTGGAATAAAATAATAATAATAATAATAATAATAATAATAACAAAACAACAACAAAATTACCATCTGCCAGCTGCAGCCAGTCAAGATGGTCCCAGTGGTGATCGGCACACTGGGTGCAGTGCCTAAAGACCTTGGCCTGCACTTAAACACAATCAGCGCTGACAAAATTACCATCTGCCAGCTGCAGAAGGCCACCTTACTGGGATCTGCACGCATTATTCACCGATACATCACACAGTCCTAGACACTTGGGAAGTGTCTGACGTGTGATCCAATACAACAGCCAGCAGAGCAATCTTGTTTGCTGTGGACTCATCTTGTTGTGTTTCTAACAAAAACAACAACAACAACTTTGTGTTGCTGTGAGTTTTCTGGACTGTATGGCCATGTTTCAGAACCATTCTCTCCTGACATTTCGCTCACATCTGTGGCAGGCATTCTGAGGGTGAAAGGTCTGTTGGAGCTGCAATGCTAAGTAGCCAACTACAACATTCACACTTGCTTCACAACCTCCGAGGATGCCTGCCATAGATGCAGGCGAAACATCAGGAGAGAATGCTTCTGGAACATGGCCATACACCTCGAAAAACTTACAGTAACATATAGTCCAATGGTTCTCAACCTGTGGGTCCCCAGATGTTTTGGCCTTTAATTCCCAGAAATCCTAACAGACGGTAAACTGGCTGGGATTTCCGGGAGTCGTAGGCCAAAACACTTGGGGACCCACGGGTTGAGAACCACTGACCTATATGCTGTCTTTTTCTTGAAACAGCACACAAGGCAGCTTCCAGGAACAATAAATTAAAAACATTTACATTGGGATATAAGAATCATTTTAAAACATTAAAAAAACAAAAAAAATGTACAAGATAAGTGAGTATCAAAATAAAATAACCCCCCATCTTCTTAAACCCTTGTTGAAATCAACATGTCTTTGTGGCTTCCCAAGAAAGGCCTTTGAGAGGGTAGGAGTGGCCACTGGACAGGTCCTCTCTCTCATGTTCTCAGGAAGCAAGTCTGGCTTGATGGCTGGACTCAAAGAAAACCTTGCCCTCAAGAGATTATAGAGTTTTGGCAGGTCCATAGCCCCTTCCCCTCAAATCTGCAATAAATAATTTTCATCTGTTCTGGGAAGTTTTTTCAGGGAAGTTTTTACAATGAACAGTTATAGTGTTGTGATTTCACTTTTATTGCCTGTGCTTTTAGTTTAGGGAAGAACATTTAGAAGTAAGGCCTGCCAAATAAGGACTGTTTTATGAATATGGCTTTTAAGTCTGGATATGGTTTTTTAACTATGGATATTGCTTTTAACCCTGTTTTATTGCTGTTGCATAATGGCTGACATTATGATTTTTTTATGATTGAATGTTTATGTTTTGCTTAATTTATTGTTTATTATTTAATGTTGTAAGCCGCCCTGAATCCCCATGGCGAGATGGAGTGGGACATAAATAAATTTTGAATGAGTTTGATTGATAAAATTGTCACCCAGAGAGGGTTTTTTTTTGGTCTAGTCACAGTGCTTTTTAACTTTCTGTTTCCATGTTTTGGGCACCTGCTCCCAGAATTGGCATTAATTGTCCATGCTGGCAATTGTCCATGCTGGCAATTTTGCTATCCTGGAAGCAGGAGGGCAAAAGAGCTGGGAGCCTCATGAAACAGCAGATCCCAGGAATCTATATGATGCCATCATGGCGGTGAAAATGGAATCATAGCACAATAAACATATCTCAGCTCCTGGTCTCAAATTGCAACTATCTTCACAGCAGATTGAATTTGGACAATGGGCATTGTACTGCTCCAGAGCACAGAGATGACTTTTTAAAACTTCTCTGTGTAAGTCACACCGGGGCCTAAATACTTTTAAGGCACCAGGTCCAGTCTGATCTTGGAAGCTAAGCAGGTTTTGCATGGGAGCAGGAAATATGCAGTTATATCCGAACGTAAGAATTATAGGTTAGTATTTTGTTGTCCTTTGCCTGACTGAAGCCAGGGGCATTGTCAGGAAGGAATGCAGAAATAATCTGCTTGCTGCAGAAAAGAAAAAGAAATGTTGGTTGGTGACATATGAAACTTTTCAAGAAGTTCAGGACAGACAGGAATCAAAAGTAAAACAGGACAGAAACTAGAACTGAACTGTTCAATTACTTGTTTGTAAGTGTGGGAATTGAAGTCCAAACATCTGGAGGGCTGAAGTTTGTCCATGCCTATGCTAAACTGAGACGTATCATGAGAAGACATGACTCAGTAGAAAAGACAATACTGCTTGGTAAAAAAAAGAAAAAGAAAGTAAGAAAAGAGGAAAACCTCATTCTAAATGGATAGACTCAGTCACGAAGGCTTGGCTCTGCAAGACCACAGGTCTAAGTCAACAATAGCATTTAACAACAATAAATCCTGCTGTAGTTTTAGTCATTGTAATCTTGACTTATGTGCAGGGAGGAATTCTGTTTAAATTTCAATGATGGTGATCACATTAAGTTTAACTAAAACTTGTTATTATTGGTGAAGTTGAACCTAAATGGCAGGCACAACTTTTTTGATATTATTCAGGAAAGGGCAATTTATAGATAAAGTAGCTCAAGGAACACCTTGAGGGAAGATTATAATATTTGTAGCTTGTTGTTTTAGGGTGAAAATCAGTAATGGAGGGCATGATGGATATGCACAAAGTTATCATATGGAGGTAATATGAAGGGAAAGTGGTTTCTGTTATACTAGAACCTTAGTGTCCATTATTGATGCTAAATGGTGAGTAACTCCACAGAAAAAAAAAGGAAGTATTTCACATCGCACACAGTTATTGTGAAACTTGCTACTACAAGCGTAATAAAGGTAGCGTTAAAGGGGCCTCTTTATCAGTTGCTAGGGAGTGCAAACAGGAGGGTGCTATTTCATTACAGAGGTTCCCATAAGCATCTAGTTGGACTCATTGGGAACATATAGGTCTTTATCTTGGTCTGACTCAGAATGGCTCTTAGGTTGTTATGAAGCCTTAGTTATAAAACAGATAGCTAAAAAGTCAACACTTCAAAAAGTCACTTATATTAATATTTTGGTTACATGTGAAATAATTGGAGTACAGCTGATAACCAAACAGATTAATCATATGACAACTCCACTTGATAAGACTTAATCAATAGTACCTAGCAAACAGTATATATGAAACAGTATATATGTTCCTAGGTAATTTTCATTTTGTAATTTTGCAAGATTGTGTATATAATATCTGTAAGAAAAGTGTCCACAATTTCATTCATCTATATCTGACAAAATATACCCTCTGTAGGCATTTTCTAGATTGTCCACTATAACTCTGTATTTATTCCTGGGCCAGAAGTCCTCCATGTCAATAGGTTTCACTGTTATCCCTTGCAGATACAACTGTTGAATTTTATAATTTAAAGACATGCAAACATTATTCCCAAAGTCAAGAGGCTTTTCAAAAAAGCTTGGCTACTTCATATCTGTTATCTTTCAATAGCAGCATTTCACCATTCTTCTTCTAATAGCAAGTTTAAAACAGTGATGTCATGTTTTTAAGCAAGAACAGGTTTTGATGTGCATTAAGCATAGACTTAAATGCTATTAAGCATAGACTTAAAAACAACTTAATTAAGGATAGACATAAAAAAAAACAACTTATTAAGCATAGATTTAAAAATAACAAGGCAGCAAAATGCCACTATGAATAAGTTCTGGTAGCAATTAAAAATGAACACTAAAATTTTGTCTACCTTTGATCCCCCTGAAAATGCCATTTATCTTTTTTTAAAATTTGGGTACAATAGGCCAGTTTCATGCAGTATTAGTAAAGGTAAAGGTTTTCCCCTGACATTAAGTCTAGTCGTGTCTGACTTGGGGGGTTGGTGCTCATCTCCATTTCTAACCTGAAGAGCCGGCGTTGCCCATAGACACCTCCAAGGTCATGTGGCTGGCATGACTGCATGGAGTGCCATTTACCTTCCCGCTGGAGCAGTACCTATTGATCTCACATTTGCATGTTTTCAAACTGCTAGGTTGGCATAAGCTGGGGCTAACAATGGGAGTTCATGCCACTCCCCAGATTCGAACATGTAACCTTTCAGTCAGCAAGTTCAACAGCTCAGCACTTTAACCCACTGTGCCACCAGGGGCCTCCATGCAGTATTAGGAGATTTGAAATCAGTCAGAAGCAAGTGAGTCCCATGGGTCTGTTACTTGTTATTGTCACAGTGTCTTCCTTTTTGCAACCCAAACAGCTCAAAAAGATTTACATGCGCTTCTCTTTGTTGCAGACCTCCAGCGTGCCAGTTCTCTGCAAATTCCAAAAACGTCTTCTCTGCCTTGGTTTCCAAAGCTAAGCGCATTAATGACAAATATGAAAGGTTTTTGGAAAGAACATTCCCACGTTTCTATAAGCTGTATTCAACTTTTTTAAAAGGTGGGTTTTCACTTGATAGAAATATGGGTAGATAGTGAAATGTCTGTCCATCTTTCAAGGTTTCAGCAGTAACACTTTGCTGTAAGAACAAGCATTCGTACTCTTATAGAATAATGCCTTAAGTTTTAATCTAACCGTATGCATGAACTCCTTGTCTCTTTTTAGTCTGTAGCTCCCCCTTACAAAGGGCAAACACAGCTAAAGCTCAGCATTCAAGTGAGGTTAAGGAAACATGTCACTGGAAGAATAAGAGATATTGCCCATGGTGTAATTGACCTATACACAGACCATATCCAGATATATAGGCAATTTTCAAGGACAAGCTTGTGAAAGACACTTCCCCTCTACACCGCCTTTGTGTCCAATATAAGTTGGCAATAGTTTTACAAGGAAAATGCATAAGAAAAAGGAATGAAAGGAAATAAGTGGGTTTTGCCCAATGCCTTGAAAGCAACATGTAGTAATTACTAGAAGTACAATAAGGAAAAAAATAAGAAAGTTTGTAAACATACTATTTATGCCATAATTTCTTCCATAAAGCCCAGAAAGATAATATCCCTGCAGCATTTGTGATACACCTTATAGTGCTAAGGTGTTCAGTTTTTTCACACAATGCCCCGAGAAGGAGTAGTTACCATATATACTCGAAGATAAACTGAGTTTCTTTCAGCCCCTTTTTTGGGCGGAAAAAGCCTCTCTTGCTTGTAATGGGGTCACACTGGGCAGCGGAGCCTGGAGACCATTGCTTGCAATATATGATTTATTTCTCTCTCTCCTCTTCCCCTCCCTTATCAGTGTGTTTTCTTTTCCAAATCCTCCCCCACTCTCTGGAGAGGGAGAGAAGCCCTTACGAGTCAGGAATATCCATTAATCTTATAAAAGCATTTTCCCCTGAAATACGTATTTGTTAATCTCTCATACAGATATATAGGCATTTCCCTCAGCAAGACTTTGCAATCCCTATGTACCTATATATTATCTGTATCAATCTATATACATTAATTTTATATATGAAGGTTCCGAAGCTGGCCTGCGCAGGCACAGGTGTATATATATATATATATATATATATATATATATAAATATTTTATAGATGAATTTTCCTCTCACATGTTTGTAAGTCTTTGCAAATTCTATATAGATATAATTATATATAGAAGGATGTCTAGATAGATATATAAGAATATAGATATATATGGCTTGCAAATATTACAGGGGAAAATGCACACACAAATACATATAGATATGTCTAGATAGATGTGAATATAGATATAGGGCTTGCAAATATTGCAGGGGAAATGCAGACACACACTTAGAGATGTCTAGATAGATATAAACATAGATATATAGGACTTGCAAATATTGCAAGAGGAAAATGCACATATATAGAGAGAATTTGCAAACGTTTCAGGAGGAAATGCATATGTAAAATTAGTATATATAATTATCGCTCTATATCTAGCTCTGTGTTGTATAAGCATTGAAAGTTTGCCTGTTACTAGGTTGGAAGCCAGTCTGAGTCCCCATGGGGAAATAGAATGAAGTTTATTATTATTATTGTTATTGTCAATACCATATTGTTTTTGTTGACCCTACTTTTCTACTTACAGAGCTAGTTTACTGTTTTTCTTTGAAATATGGTAAATATTAAAAACATTTAACCTTCTGATGCCTCAATTAAAGTAATTTTATTGGTATCTATTTTTATTTTGAAATTTACCAGTAGCTGCTGCATTTCCCACCCTTGGCTTATACTTGGAGTCAATAAGTTTTCCCAGTTTTTTATAGTAAAATTAGGTGCCTCGGTTTATATTCGTGTTGGCTTATACTCGAGTATATACGGTATTTTGCCAGAGTTTTAGAGAGAAGATCAAAAAGAGGCATAACAGTTTAGAGAGTGCCCTGGAGAAGACCAGGGATTGCAATGCTGGGTCTGAGAAAACAGGAGCAACATTGTCAGATAAAAGACAATGTAAGATTTGAAAAGGGACTTGATGTGAATGGCATTTCAGATCTTTGAGGAAAAACTTGCATATTTTTGCACAGGGTTTCGGATATTTTTCTTGGAAGTAAAAGAAATAAGAAGGATAAAAGAAAAGATGTCTCACAAAAACATCCAGTTTCATCAGCTTCCATACAGAGAGATGGAAAGACTAAGGCAGGTACGTTTATATTTGGTTTGTATGCCTCTTCCAAGGATGTAACCTTTGACAGCACTCTGTAATAGGTGTTAAAAACTGATTTCTGCAAGTGATAATTTCCACATCAGAGCAGTTGCTTAATTTACTACATGAAAAGTCAATTCTAAATATACTAGCAACCTTTTCTGAATATCATGGCTTGGCAAACTGTAGCCCACAGGCTACTTGGGAGCCCTCAAAACCCCCAGACCTCTCAAAATGTTTATTAAGATTTAGGGGAGCAATTTTTTTGCTTAAAAACCAGCCAGAATCTCCCCAAACCAGCCAAAATGGAGTAGTTTGCGTCCTATATCCCCCTGTCCCCATTTCTTAAATCTTTCAAAGGCACACACACAAGAAGAAAGATCAGCTGAACATCTGACAAAAGGGCAGCTGGAAGTGACATTATTTCACTTTGGGTGTGTGAAAAAGTAGTGAAGTGCCCCACTGTACAAACTCCTGAAGGAGAAATGACTTGAGTGCAGGTGTCCAACCCTTCTGTACATTGATGGTAGTTTTGCAAAACACCCTAACTAAGATGCTGAGAGAAATGTTACTCTCAGGACATATCTTGTAAATTCTGAATTGAAATTGGCCAATAATGTTGTTTTTTTTTAATCAGCAAAGTGAGTCCAACTTCAGTATCTTGCAGATTAGGATTGTTTCAAGTGTTCTGTCACTTGGGCCCCTTCCACACAGCTGAATAAAATCCCACATTTTCTGCTTTGAACTGGAATATATGGCAGTGTGGACTCAGATAACCCAGTTCAAAGCAGATATTGTGGGATTTTCTGCCTTGATATTCTGGCTTACAGTATATGGCTGTGTGGAAGGGCCCTTGGAGTTTCATAGAGATCCAGGCAGCTACTACTGATTATTGGTGGTCTTAACATAGAAGTGATCTAGGAGAGATTTGTAATATTGCAGCAGTGACATTGACATAGAAAATTCTGCCCTACAAAATGTGTTACATTGCAGCTTCAGATTCTGTAACATTTATGTAGAGGTTGTCTGTGATTTCTGCTGCTGGATACATGTGGGATAGATGTGGGGCACTGCATTATATGTCTAGGTCATGGTACCTGCAACTATTGTATATTTGTAGCAGGCATATACTTCTATAGTACATACTCACTACAAATATACCATAATTGCACACGAAAAGGCAATACTCTTAACAAAAAGGTGCTGCCCAAAAAATACACTGTTCAATGACAGTGTCTGTTTAGTGCTGCATAACAGTTCCTTCCTGTTTCAGTCTAGAGAAGTCAGAATTAAGTGTGTGAGAATACTTTTAGGGTGGAGTTCTATTTATTTTTTAAGTTGACTATGATGTGTATCAGAGTATTCCTAAATGTGCTCTCACTGGTCTTGAATAGTTACATCTAAGTTGATTGGGAAGGTCTTTGATCAAAGCATCAGCACCAATTCTATGAAGTCATTTCATAATCTTATAATATTAAAGAGTAATGGACATACTCGATTTTAAAAATGGCTTCCAGAGAAAGTGTTTTTAGATTAGTCTCATTCCCGTCTCAGAATCGGTTGTGAGTCTGCAGTTGCGCACTGCGTGTTTACACGTAGCATTGCATGTTTACTAACGGAGCATTTTTTTTTGTAGTTTCGCAGAGACGTGATCAAGGCTATTCCTGTTGGCATTCTCTCTCTTCCACCCTTTGCCAACTATCTGGTTCTTTTGCTTATGTAAGTGAATCTAGTTTTCTATAAAGATGAAGGATTGATCTTTCAGTTTTACTGTCAAAGGATAAATGCTTGACTGGTAACCTTTATAATGTCAGTCAACTAGAGGTGAGGTTGTTTTGAATCTTTCCCCTCATCACTTAACAGATACTATTCCTGGCTCTTTGATGGGGAGATTGTTAACAGTGCAGCTGTGTATTAAGCAGCTACAAAAATAGATTGCCTGAGAGCATTCATAACTATTAACCAGGAAATATTCAATTCAGTGTTTTCTCATGTTTGTGCTTCACTAGTTACAGTTTTGTATTCTAGTATATCTTTTTATACTAGTCTATAAATTTCCTAGTGATAATTGTGATAGAAGTGAGAATCCCTCTTTAAAATCCCATAGAGATTTTTCAAAAAATCAAACCTAATCAGTTTTGAGGGTTTGGAAGAGAGTTGCTTAAAGGGATGCTCATGTGCTGTACCTTGTATACCTTTTCAGCATCTTCTCCATCCCACCCTTTCCCCCACCTGTTCTAAATCTGTTCTTTTACATTGGAAATTAAAAACAGGTAAGAAATGGCTTCTGCTTAGTGTTTGCTCCTTGGCCTTATTATGTCATATATGTGTTTACCAATGTTCTTGATGCAGAATATAATACTGAGCGTGACCAATGTTCACCTCTCTAAAATCCTGTGTGGCTTGGTATGTAAGATTCATGATAAGAAACCAAGAGTGTACACAAGGTTATATCCAAGATAGCAGTTGATTCTCAATATCTACTGATGAATTCTCCTCCTAAAAAGAATTCTAAAAATGTAATTTGTTCAGCTGTTCCAATTTGATATTGTTCATTTGTTTCAAATATCATATGTTAAGAGTCATGATTATAATGTGCATGTGGTTTTATTGCAGGCATAGCTATGGGGGAATTTGGATGAGCTTAAAATAATTATAGACAGGCTACTATCCTGCCAGGATCTTTACCAAAAGTGCCTGTCTGAAGTTGCTGTTTTAATATTACATATACTTTGGTTCTTATTTATCTAGGTTGTAGTCGAGGTGGCTTTTGATTTTCCTATTTACCTATAGTGCACATTTTATCTAGCTATAGTTAAGTTTCCTAAAAGTATTCCTGAGGAATCATCCTGTTGAGAAAACCTAAAAGACCCACAGATTCTTTGAAACTTATAGACGATTATTTCGCGCGTATCAGTCCAATATCATTAAATTAAATTAAATATCAGCCCTCCACATCTGATGAAGTTAGGTGCACAGGACTCCCATGAAAGTGAAAAATAGTGAATTAAAAATCCTATTTTTTAACCCGACCACTTCTATGGGAATTTCTAGATTCTCTAGCTTTACCTTGTGGTTAACTTCCAGCAGAGTTGACCTGGAAGATCTAGGGTTTTATTAGAACACTTAATCAAATCTGCAAACATCAGACTTGCAAACACGGAGAGCCGACTGTATGCTTTTGTCTTGGCCTGCAGGGTTAGGATGCATGAATTTGTGAATTTTTTTTTATCTCATCTGACATCCTGGCTTTCAACTATAAAATAATTCAAATTTGCTTACAAACATTCAGAAGTATAATAAAACATATTGCAGAAATTTAAAACAAATAATAAAATTAACAGATTAAAAATCATACGTTCTCCTCAGTAAAGAAAACTTTAATTAAGGAAAAATGACCTGGCACTTAAATAAAGAGAGGGACTTACAGAGATGGTGGTGTCATTGAAACATTCTAGTAGCCACTTGGGAGATCTTGAAGGCAGGGGAATGTGGATAAGGCCTCAGAGGGTGGTTTTAATTGCTAGGCAGGTTCATTTCCTTAGTATCCTGAGATCCTCAGATTTCAGCTTCTTTTCGAATTATTAAGATAAAATTAAAAGGTGTGGGCAAGGTGTGGCTACATTTGTAAGACAAAGGCTCAACAGTGTTCCTAATTGTGAAGAGCTGAAGTTTCAGTCAACCTTGGCTAGCAGATATTGCAAGATAGATAGAAACAGCAAAAGTCAGCCTCTTGGTGCAAAATTAGGATGCATTCGGGCCAGGGATCTTCAGTTTATAGTATATACGTCCAATTTGTTTTGATCGTGTTGTGTCTGTTTGAAAATGTATCTTCTTTCTGGGCAATCTCTCCTTCCCAAGGTATCTATTCCCAAGACAACTTTTGATACGGCACTTTTGGACTCCAGAACAACAAGCTGAGTTTCTAAATACATACCACAACATAAGGAAGGAGGCATATCCTGAGGTGCTTGATGGTCTACAGCATCTGTCACACACCTTAGATGATGCCCACCTCCGCAAACAGATGCTGGATCTCTGCAAAAAGGTATCTCCTTTCAAAGAACCTCAATCAGGAGGGAAGCAACTATGTGGGCCATTTGGTTGGGAATCAGGAGCTGTTAGGCTCAAAATAACCCTCTCTGGGGGTGATTCCACCAAATATTTAGCAGAGTGCTAGATGCACAGTTCATAAGCAGCAGAAACTTACATGTAGTGAGCAAGGATTGGCTTCCATTCAACAGGATGGAACAGGATTGCAGATCCACATCTTCATAGGATCAAAAATAATATGTTTATTAGAGACAAAAGAAATCCATTCTAGATAGGAAAGGTTCTTGAAGCTAACTAGCTTCACTGTTGATTCCCTTAAATATAGCCTTTGTGCTTTATCCTGTTCATACAGAAGAGCTCACTAGAGTAACAGATTGCCCTCTTAACTTCACATGCACTGCCTTTTTGGTCAGTGCACTCCATGTGCTGCACAGTTTGATATGACATACAATTTTAATACAAAAAAGGCTGAAAGGGATAGAAGAATTCAGTTCAGGCTTTCATTGTGGTTTTTGGGAGTTTCTGAGAAGGGAGGAACCAAATGAAGTGTGATTGATAGTTGAACTATGATATTGGAAGACCAAGGTTTGAATCTTGTTTGGACATGGACACATCACACTCCACTTCAGAGGAAGACTAGAGAACCCTGAACAAGTTCTGCCAAGAAAACCCCACACACCCCTTAGGGTTACAACAACTCAAAAATCACTTGAAGGCACACAACAAGGTTGTTGGATGCGGTGTTCTCCTTTTTGCTTTTCTCTCTGAGGTAATGAGGCTGAAGCTATGGAGTGGTGAAACACCTTCACTCATGCTAATGCTGAGAAGGTACCAGTCCGACAACAACAAAAAGACTCCTATTCCACTGTTGGGATGAAAATATAGCCTGGAATTCTGCACAGTCTTCAGCAAACAGGAGTTGTGCATAGCCTCTTGTCTTTTTCGAAACCTCTATGGCGCTTTTCCAATAGCAATTGTGTCTTAATCTCCAAGGTGCAGGAAGGAAGCCACCCTGATATAAAAGAACTTAGAGCTGTGAGGACCTTATTTGTGGGGCACCCCTTTGGCATCCAGAAGCTCAGGGTTCAGCAAGTGGTAAGTTCCATTCGGGGAACTAAATGGGATATTGACAGACTTAATGACTGTATGCGGATCATTATATGCCTTGCCTCTGCACTTTGACTGAAAGGCTTGGAGAACCAAGAGATTAAGTATTTTCTATCTGTAAATCTGAAAGTACTACGGCTTGTAGTAACGGCTTTATACTGGGATCCTGTTAATTTGCTATCCCTCTGCATTTCTACTGCCAGATATGGGAGTCCATAACCACCTTTATTCCATATTCTAATCTGCAAAGCAACACATCTCTGATAGCTCCCCTACCTGCCCACAAACTCTAATTCCATGTTTCCATGTTTGTCTCTTCTTCCTTAGAAAGTCCTAAGTCGTGTTCTCTTCCTGACTCCTCGCTTGCCATCTTTCTTCCTAAGATCTCGCTTGCGAAGCCATGTGTTGGAGCTTTACCACCTGGATCATGCCATGCTGAAACTGGGAGTTAGAGAGCTGACAGATGAAGAAGTGCAAATGGTGACCTGAAACCTGTTCAGTACAATAAATAAAAGAACCACGGGTGCCTCTAATTGGCTGGAAACTGGTTTAGCCAGTCTTTCTTCCTGCCTCCAGGGGAACCTGCTCAGAGTTGGTCAGGAAGTTTTGAGGAACACAATAATAAATAACTACATTAGATAGTTCTCAGAGTTAAATTATTTCAGATAGTATTTAGATGCTATGTTGTAATAAGTTGTTGTTGTTATTCATGCCAGGAGCGATTTGAGAAACTGCAAGTCGCTTCTGGTGTGAGAGAATTGGCCGTCTGCAAGGATGTTGCCCAGGGGATGCCTGGATGTTTTACCATCCTGTGGGAGGCTTCTCTCATGTCCCCACACGAGAAGCTGGAGCTGACAGATAGGAGCTCACCCCGCTCCCTGGATTTGAACCACCGACCTTTTGGTTAGTAGTCCTGCCAGCACAAGGATTTAACTCATTGCGCCACCTGGGGCTCCAATAATAATAATAATAATAATAATAATAATAATAATAATGCTTTATATCCTACCCCCTCTCCGCAAGGGACTGTAAATATTTCTTTTTCATTTTGATGACACAGATAATATTGGATGACAACTAGTGCCTAGTAAAGAGTTGCTAAAGGTATCATTCTTATAGCCAGTGCAGGGCATGGAACAGTTAGCATTGTTATGAAATTTTCTGTTTCTCCTTACCTGAAAAACAAAAGGCACCTCATCTCAAGGAATGTACAGAAAGACCTAATCAAGCAATAAGCCTTTACTTCCTGGATTTCAGAAAGACATAGCATTAAAGACAATTCACAAGTCTTTAATGCCATGTCTTGTCATATAGAATACCCTGCATGAAATTATAGAGACCTCTTCACACTGTATGCTTATGGCTTTTTGATTGTACATTAATTGTAGGAGAGGGGAGTTGTAATTTAGTTTGAGGCACCAGAGGAACTCCCTGGTTGAGGTCTGTGAAAGCCCTCCCTCCCCTGCAAATTCCAGGATTCACTGAGATGTTGCTATACCAGTTACAATGATATCACAATTGTATAATTGTGTAGTGTGAATGGATCCCAAGACAGGTTCAATTTAACTAGGATCCATTTTCTAATGATTAGTTCCTTATATGAAGAATTGCAAATTATTGTGTTTATTTATTACTGTAACTGAATGTGTTTCTTCTTTTTTTGCAGGCCTGTTACATTCGTGGCTTGAATTCTGTCCACCTGAGCCCAGCAGCATGCAGGCTGTGGCTGGACCAATGGCTAGCGTTGTCCTGCTCTCTGAAAGGTAACATTGACTAAACGTTGAAGGACATTTTCTATTACAACTATTGTCATCATGCTACTCCTTTATTCAGGCACAACTAGAATGAAATTAGGAAGATAGAACATTTTAGCATCCTTCTTTTTATCATTACCAAAACTCAGCCCAGACATTCCAAGATGTTTTATATCTAGTAATGGAGTATAAAAGAGAGAAGCAAGTCTTCTGCGGCAAACTATTACAGAATCTAGCTACCACCAGAAAATGTAGAGTTTTAGATACCCATTTACTACAGTTCAGTGAGTGGTGGGGCATGCATTTGTGCTTTCTTTTCTATGTGCTTGATTCTCAGAGATCGAGGTTCATAGCTATCTTTATTCTATATTCTAATCCGCAAAACGTGCAGTTCCATCTCCCAATTCTGGCACTGAAGCACGTGTTATACTAGATTATGCAGTTTTGCAGTTTTAGAAAGATCATTGGCATTGCATAGTTCTTGGAATTTTGGTGATAAAGGCCCCTTCTACACGGCCATATAATCCAGATTATCTGCTTTGAATTGGATTATATGAATCTACACTGCCATATAATCCAGTTCAAAGCAGATAATCTGGATTGTATATGGAAATGTAGAAGAGGTCTTAGATAGATTTAGCTGGAGTCTAAGGGTGAAATAGACTTTTAGGGTTGAATTACCGGAAAAATAGCTGTTCAAGAGATAAATATAAGGAGGGAGAGCCAATGTGAAAGAGAAGGCGGAGCTATTTGTAGAGATTTGCAGTGGGGTGATGAATTCTTGGATCAGAATTTGGAGAAAAGACTGGGGCACAACAAAGTGAGAAAAGACAGTAGTTGTGGGAGTACTTACGGAATGAAACAGCTGTGGCATCACAGGATTTTGAGTCCCAGCATTTACTTCACTCTGCCATTAGATGCATCAGCGGCAGTGACCATAGCTGCGCAAAACCGTGGCTAAACACAGTTACTCCCATACCTCAGAAAGGACATTCTGCAGAGATGTTGCCCAGGGCCACGTGCAAGTGTGTATGGAAATACAAGAGTGGTTCTTGGTTTTTCAGGTGTTGAAGCTTCACTCTTGGCCCATGGCATGGTCTTACTTTCCACCAACTTCACCCAATCATCTAAGGGCTGACCATGGGAGCCCTTAGCTTTGGACCATTTCTGAAGAGATGCTGCCATGGTGACTCCTGGCTGAACCAGAAGGGGACATGGATTTTTGCTTGATTAAGAGTGGCAAGAGTCCAGCAGGTGAGGTTTCTCCAGCACTTACTAGCCTTATTGTTAAGGAGAAACACTACCCCGTGGGTAATATTCTTCCCACTATGATGGAGACCAATGTGTTGTCAAAATGGTGCTAGACAAAATAACAGCAAAATGGATTCTACCATGTTTTTGATTGGGTCTAGCTAAGCAATGTGGTTCTGCTTTGACACAATCGTTACTTTTACTTGTGGTGTCAAACAGTATGGGACATATCTGATGAAGGTGAGGTTGGCAACTGCACAGAGCAGTGTTTTGGCCTAAAACTCCCAGAAATCCCAGCCAGTTTAGAAGCTGCTAGGATTTCTGGGAGTTGAAGGCCAAAACACCTGGGGACCCACAGGTTGAGAACCACTGGCATAGAGCAATAATGCCTCCACACCTAATACTTTCAATGACATCCATCCAGCAGTAATACAAGTAGTGTTTCCTTCTCTTTTTCATGTGTGGTTAGCTTCCTCCCCCATTTTAACTTCACGAGAAAGTGTTCATTTTACAAACATGCATGGGTATCCCAGTGACCTTTCCCTGCAGGAAAAAGAGCAGGGCAAATCTAATCCAGCGCTGTTTGAAGCATGATTGTCTGCTGGGCACCTGTTTTTCAAAAGGTGTGATAAAATGTATTAGGCAAAGGTGCTGCAAAATGTAAAGAAATAAGCAGGATTCTTGCAGTAATTATACAGAAGCATTTCACTGCAGTCCCTACCATGTGTCCACTTCTGTGCCCCTGAACACAAAATCATGTTGCCTTCCCAATGGTGTTAGAACTGCAACTCTCAGCATTCCTCCTATTGGCGATGCTTAGGGCTGCTGGGAGCTGCACTTAAGTGATCATGATGTGAGGCAGGTGGGAAGAGGAAGCCATGTCTTCTTGTACACTGGAACTTTAGCTAAAATGAAAATTGTGTAAACTGGTGATTGAAGTAATCATTAAAAATATGCAAATTGTAAGGAATGATTGGTGTCTCAACTGTATAAAAGATAATATGGAATTGTTAGCACTAATGGTTAATAAAGACAAAGCTTCATTTTTTCCACGGTTTTTCAATGACTTGTGCTTAATTTATCTGATTTCTTACTTTTGGTTGAGCTCCAGTATACTGCCTTAATGAGTGAGAATGAGCAGATCCCGTTTGGATTACCAAAGCACCTGGATTTGTCCTCCTAACCTTCCACGGTATAGCCTATAAACCTTGTTCCTTGGGACAAGGGCTGCTTGTTACTGGAAAGTGATCTACTCCCATTTTTTATAATATTGTCATACCTTATATAGGACAAGAAGCAACTGCCCCTGTGAACAGTCTTTCACTGTTAAAAGTAGAACTGACTCTTAGAATTCAAAGACATAGCATGTTAGTCTGACTCAATATGGAAGGGGTCTTACAGCACTTTGACACTGAGAGAAAGAAGTTGGTAGTATAAGCATTAGCTGAGCTGAGTCTCTTTCATCAGATTAATGGAATGACTACCTGGAAACAGGTCATCATTGCTGAGAATGAGCACGTGGTGTGTGAGCAGCAGTTGAAATCCAAACTTTAATGATGGGGTGACAAATTCAGTTTTAACAGTGGTCTTTAGGAGACAAATGCAGAAGGAAGGATAATGCCTAAGCTGAAGGGATGTTATTAGCATACTATGCCAGGAAGCTGTTCTCTTGTCAGTGTATATATTTGCGTTCTCCTGTTTCTCTTTCCAGTCTTTGTGTTTTTTTGTTGTTGCTGTTGAAGGGCTGAGGGGGAATGCACTGGAAGACTGCAATTGTAAAGTAATACAGACCAGTCTCTGCATCAGAAAATAAACAGATCTGAATAAAGTATATTTAAAAACAGTTGCAGGACACTTCCACTCGTATCTAAAGGTCTGTTCCTAAGCATTTCATGCCATAAAATCTGAGGAAGTCAGAGTCTTAGGAAATCTTATGCTACCAACTTCTCTCTCAGCCTTGGAGATGTTGTAAGGTCCTTTGACATGCTGACTCTGCCTTTAAGTCAATTCCAACCTATGGCAATGCTATCATGGGATTTCAGAAGAAGTTGCCTTCACCTTATGCTGAGGCCATGAAAGTACAACTTGCCCAAGTTTACCCTGTATGTTGTTTATTCGTTCAGTCATTTCTGACTCTCTCTGACCTTATGGACCAGCCCACGCCAGAGCTCTTTGTCAGTCGTCGCCACCCCCAGCTCCTTCAAGGTCACTTCAAGGATGCCATCCATCCATCTTGCCCTTGGTCGACCCCTCTTCCTTTTTCCTTTCATTTTCCCCAGCATCATTGTCTTCTCCAAGATTTCTTGTCTTCTCATCGTGTGGCCAAAGTAGTTCATCTTTGCTTTCAATATGCTTCCTTCCAGTGGGCAGTTGGGCATAATTTCCTGGAGTATGGACTGGCTGGATCTTCTTATGTTCCAAGGCATTGTTTCCACAAATCATCTTTTGTAGAGTTCTAGTGTAGTGGTCAAACCATTACACCATTCGGACTCTCAGAATTGAGTTTACTTGCTACAATTTGCAGACATTGGCTTAGAAAGCAACTGGTAATTCACAGTGGGCTAGTGCAGATGGAAATTTCCAGATTTATCATCATGTTTGGGCTGGAAGAACATTAATTCCTCACCTCTTCATAATCTGCTTCAGTCAAGCAATAACGCTGTGTGTACATTAGCTATAACATGCACCTTCAAACTGTGACCCTCCAGCTGCTTTAGACTCCAACTTCCAGAAGCCCTAGTCAGCTTGTTCAATGGTTGGAATTCTGTGAGTTGGAGGCCAAAACAGCTGGAGGATGCCTGAGCTATAATGTCCGAATTTGAAATTGTGCTTACAAGGCCTGGTTGGTATAGTGTGATTAAGCATAATGCATCACTGTGTCAAATTACTAAACAGCAATGCATGGGAAGGGACCACATGAACTAATACCACGCTCTCACCGTTTACTAAAAGTAGAAGAGGATAGAGGCTATTTTGTGTACCATAAATGACAGGATATTGCTGAAGCTGAACCACGCCACACTTACCAAAGAACAGAAGCTACTTGGTGCAAGTTCAGGCATTTATTTTTACACTTAAATATCCTCTTTAAATACAGCATTATCACAATGAAAAAACATAAAAGGCAAAACAAAATGTAGAGGACCTGACAAGCTTTGGATTCACATTGAAAATGCCACCTGTATATCATGTAATGCAGGAGAGCAGAGTACGTTATAAAGTTATCGGAGTCACAAGTTACTGATGTAGAGGGCAGGGCCTGTACCACGTGTATCAAACCAGGGCTTGCTTAAGGTGTCCCTTCCAAACAGGCAGTAAAAGGACTGCTTCCATGTAAACAGTTCAGTAGCACCAAGGTGGAGGGAAGAGAGGTGAAGAGAATGGATGTTTTTATTATGCTAATATATCCAGACTAGCTTGTTTGAAAGGCCAGGTTAGAGGAGGAACACATACTTCATTACCTTAAAGAACATTCTTTAAACAAAAGGCTGGAAAATCAAGGTCTTTGCTTCCTAAAACAGGATGTATAGTTCAAGTTCTGTTATTTCACTCACACTCCCAAGCTTGTCTTTCATACTGCTTGAGAGAATTTTTGAAAAAATAGCCCATCATACCTGCAAACACCCATTGACTTAGTGTTTTCATCAAAGGCAAAACACTTTTATTTCCCAAAGTCACAGGCACAAAAGAGCAGTGGTGAGGCATAGTTGGCTCATGGAGATTATTATGGCATAGGGCCAGCATAGCAGTTCAGATGCCATTGGATTCCTGCCTGTTGTCCACTGGGTGAGAATGCAAATGTTACCTATGGGCCTTCATCATCCCATTCTTGTCATCTTGTGCCTCCTGGAATGTTAGCCATGAGAATTCCTTCCACAGTTTCACACAGGAATTCTCGCATTTAAGTATGAAGATGCCTCCAGTTGCAGCAAATGTATTCCAGCAGACCCCCCTCAGCATTGGGGCATGGCCAAAGGGAGGAACAGCAGCTAAAGCACTCAACAGAAGGAGGTTGTTAAGCAGTCAGATCTGAAAAAGGAGACTATCATTTACATCTCTTCATGTTAAAGCTGATCATAGCCAATACTCTTCCTCTCTGCCCTCCCACCAAAAGGAAAAAAGAAACCTCATCCACATTGTATGGAATTAAAGGCAACATAAATAAAGTAGCTGGAGACCAGGACTTGGTCATTCCTTTCAGGGAACATCCATACCTCGGTTGCCCATGGCTTCAGGTTCAGTGTTGCAGTGGTCAGCTAGAACCACAGAGGCATGCTGAGCAAAAAGGCAGGTGTATTGTTATTCTGCAAAATGCTCCACCAGGGACAGGAAACTGCTGGTAGAGAAGCAGCAGAGGCCCTTGAGTTGTCAAGTGTGTACAGAGAGACAGGCAGCTACGGAGAGTGGATATACATAGTAATTCCCACAGTGCCCTTAATATTTTCAAAGAAAGCAATTTGCTCTTTTGCCTTTAGGTCCAGTTTCAGTCAAAAGGCAGCACATTCCCCCTTCTCTTGCTTCTGAACTCAACACACTGACATATATGCTCTTGAGATATATGTGTTCTTCTGCCTTTGGGAATAAAACCACCTTTTGATAGCACCTTTGTATTTTGTAAACAATATTGTAATTGGGAAGGATTCTAATGAATGTTATCAATGGCCTTCTTCAGCCCAAACTAGCCTAAAAGAAGAGAAGTCTTTTTAAAAAACCCAACCTTAGCAGCAGAACTGTCAGCAGCAAAGGCTAGGGTGAGGACAGTCATAGCATCTGTATCAGGGACCTTTATTTCTGCAAGGCAAAAAATGAGACTACGATAGACATTTCAAAGCAGTTCTCAGATGTCTAAGGTCCTATTCCAGTTTTAAAGTTACTGCGCAAAGGCAATACCTGCCTTCACATACTAGTACTATTTTCTAAGCTGTTTACTGCAGCAGGAGGAGCAGGTGGTGGTGAGAGAGCAAAGTACTTAGTGAAACAAAAAGAGGGTATATCATACACTGGGAATAAAACAATTATCAAAAGGGAACGCAAGCAACATATACCTTTTTATTATTAAAAACAATTTGGAAATTCATCAGCATAGAACTGAGCCCTCCGTGGGTTGCAAAACATCCATAAAGGTGTTTCTACTCTTAACTGCCATTTCCAGGGCAATTTCTCCAGCTCACTTTACCAAAGTTGCCGGTGCACCTTTGTACACATTCTCTCTTAAGGATTTTGAATGTAAATGTCATTCTTGTCTATCTTATCTCCCTGCAATTAGGATCGAATGCTGCGAAGCACTCTCAAGAGCCAGTCTTAGAACCTCTTGGGTTCTGAGAGGCAAATTCAGTTTTAGAGAGGTTCTTTGGTTTCCTCTGGTAGAGGAACCAAAAGTACCAGCATGAGTAGCTTAAAGCTATTATTGCCAGTAACTAAGCCTCAGGAGAAACATTCCAAACTTTTAGAATGGGAAGACAGTGAAAGCTGAGAAACCATCAAATGAATGGTTCATTGATGTGTACAGCCATTCCAAAGACTATACAAGGTAGGACCGAAGGAGGAATGACACAGCTCAAGGATACAAGATCCCTTACCGTATCCTAGAAAATTCAAATTCACAGAATCAACTTCCTATTCAGGAAGAAACGGTCTTCTGGAGAGAAAACACACAGCATAAAATAGCATTATGCATGTGTTAACCCTCACCTAAAGGTAAGTGATAATGAAAAATACTCCTCACCTAAAGTAGTTAGACTTCATGCTTGCTTGTGAAGTACAGTAGTGCCAAATGGGTTTGCGGTCTAGATAAGTTTGAAATAAACAATAGGCCAGTGCCTTGCTCTGCCTATTTACTCAGGTCCACTTTGAGATCCATCACACAGAAGTCTCTGTGACTGTCCAACTGAAGCCAGGCCAGACTATGTAATGAGAGGATGGCAATATTAACCTAAGATTTACTATGAAAGAGAATGTCCATGAGGTTGGAAGATAAAGGTGCTTTTCTTATAATGGGGGAGGGGGGGATTAGATAAAGGGGCTAAATGGCAGTTCTGAGAACGTCCCATAC